GGGGTGGAGAGGTAGTGAATGAAGAGTGGGGCGGGGTGCACACAACCACTCAAATGGGAAGCGGTGGTTTTCCCAGTGAAGGGTTTGCGAAGGCGAGTTACTTCAGGAATCTTAAGGTAGTTGACGCGTTCAACAACTTAAAGGATCCTGAAGATCTTGGCACTTTCACTAATAACTCCAATTGTTATGATGTGAAGATGGGAAAGAATAATAAGTGGGAGAATTACTTTTACTATGGAGGACCTGGTAGAAACTCTAGATGTCCATGACCGGCCAGCTTGCTTTTATTAAAGTAGATATGTAAGACGAAAATTCTGTTGCTATTTTCCTTGCGATTGCATTAAGTTTTTCTTAGTTCTTTTTGTTAATGGTTTAGTGCGTAGTTGTACAAATATGTGACATAACCATATATTGTGCGGAGTACTTTAAAAACAGTGTGCAGCTAAGGTTTCCCTCAGGCTGATATTTTTGGGGTTTATTTGCATCACATAAAATGCTTTCATAGTTGTGAAATGCTAACAAAAATTGCTCTGGTGAACGCTTTCATATTTGGATAACGTAAGAGAAAATCACACTCGTAAAAGATATCTATGATGTACACAAATTGTCATATACGGAGTATTTATTTTTGAATCTGTAAATCTACCATTTATCCCACAAAACTTATTCCCTCCACAGTTTTCTATTTCTATTCCTATTTTCTTTTGGAGTATTTTCACGTTTCAAATAGCCCTCATTGCTTAGTTGTTCTTGCACAACATATGCTCCAAAATGCAAGTAGTGTCTGTTTTTCTACTTTTGAGAAGTGGTTTATTTTATTATGAAAAATGATTAATAATAAAAGTTGATAATATATAATGTAATTAAAATTTCATAATGTGTAATACATAATTTGGAATTTCACAAACCTATGTATTATACATAGGAGTTTGCGAAATAATATTACCTCTGTCCCCAAGACTAGGACAAGGGGGTAGTGTATTTATTATAAAAAGTGGAATTGTGTTGTTATTAAATTAGTAACATCATCTGACTTTAAACTCGACAATTTTTACCTTGACCATAATTACTCCTATTTAGGAATAATGACATAAAGCTCATATTTTGAAATTCCAATACATTTTTACTCATATTTCAGGAATTTTCCCTTATTGTTTCTATAAGCACTCCTCCTTTGTTCATGAATTCTTTTTACTAATACAAATAAAGGTTAATAATCGCAAAAAGGGAACTAATCTATCTTTATCTAAAAGCAAAAGAAATTCAACGCACAGTACTCCCGCCCAATTGTGTCAACGTCAGTTATTAATGTTTTAATTGGTCAAGAATTATAACAGAGGATATGCATTGTAAAGGATGGGTCCGGCCCACACTTTAAATTTTGAGGAAAGTATTCTTATTGGCTGTAGCTGGCGGTGCGTATAGTAAGAACAAAAATTAATGAGGCCTCCTATTGGTTGAAGAGGTGGTGGTTACTGTTGCCAAAATTTGTGACATGATGCTTCCTTGCTTTCCATTGGTTGATGAGGGTGGTGTGAACAAGTGAGGGGATGGTACCTGCAGCAAGTAGTACACAAACGTTCAGCTATAAATTCACAATTCTAGCACCAACATTCTCACAACCATTCTCGCTGCTATATAAGGAAGTGTTCATAACTTCCTAAAAAGTTATTTTCTGGAAATTATATTTCACTATGAAGAGCTCCCACAAATTTAAAATCATCATTTAAAATTCCACTTTTCATATTTTGATCGAATATCAATAACTCATTGTTTTAATATCTACAGGGCTCAAAGATCCATCTCACATTCCTTATGAAAAATTCATTGTTTTAATGTTGTTTTTCTTATCTTCTGGAAATTATGTGTGCCTTATTGTTTTAATAGATCCAATTACTCATTGTTTTATACGTAGTATTTGATTATGTGTGCATGTATAAAAAGCGTTTCATCTATATAATGTTTACAAAATGTAAAATGTTATACAAAAGCAGGTCCAGATACAGTATGCCCATAAGTTACTACTCCTATATGAGTTCATCTATATATAAGTTGCTATTTGATTGTAGTATTAGGAAAAGCATATACGTAGTATATACTTCCTAGGATGTATGCATGTATTTGGGGCAGATGATTCATCTTGGTTAAACTTCCAAACTAAATGATAAGCTCATTTGGAAAGTAATGGACAACTCAATTGTTGTCCTTAAAATATCCGTACATATAAATTCCAAAAGGATGGGGCATGTGTTTTGTAAATTAAATGGAAAAGATAAATGTGTACCGACATCTCAGCAAAATCCGTTGTTGGAGACTATCTGTGAGTTCGTGGATTGGATTAGAAACTCCGTAGGCAGTCACCGGAAGCCTTGACTACGTAGAAAATCCGTCTGCAGGTTCTTCGAGTTCAGACTTTTGCTATTTTGTCCGTCAATTGCTTTTTTTTTTCTGGCAGGCCCTTCGCAGCCTGTCTTCCTACTTCTATTCCTACCTCCACCGCCGGAAACTTTAGAAGAATAGAGTTGACAACCCTAATTTTAGAACGAGAGTTGAGGGAGATGAATGATTTGTGGTATAGAGCCTTGACATAGTCATTAGTATAGATAATACATTTCTTTACCATTTTGTAAATAACCGCATTGTTAGACTGAAATTCCTCTTATACGACTTGAGAGATCATATGTAGCATTCGCATTTAATGTGTGCGGGACACAAGAGGTGTAAAGTTAAATGAGTATTTGATGACACGCACGCACTACGTATGTTATACTTACGGCCAGTTGTAAATTTTAAACAATTTCAGAGGTGTCTAGAAATTATTTTTCAAAATAATTTTAAAACTTAAAATTCAGGAAAAATTCATGCACATCGGAACTTTCGTTTTCCGACAGTTATTTCCGTGTTCATTTTCAACAAAATAAAATAGATATTCAACGTGACCGGGAATATGCAAGTACTATTTATTATTATAAAAATAGATATTTTAAAAGGGTTCAAATTAAAACAAAATCGGGTCATCGATTGTCATTTGACATTTGGGTATTTTTCTAATTCTTTAAAAACGGTACTGATTTTTTCCCAATTAGATAAGCAGACCCAAAGATGTTCCAGACGGTTGTGGGTTGTTGATTTTTCAGATAATATTGTGTGAAAGATGCCGGTAAATGAGATATTACAAGATGATGTTTTTTGGTAAATAAAAATCCATGCATGTATTATCAAATATCATTTTTCAAAAAAAAAAAACTTTTATGTAGTATGCCAGTAATCAACACAGATCTGCTAGATCTATAAGATGATATGTATACAAGACTGATTGGGTTCTTTTACGAAAACAGTTAATCAATGAGCTAGGTGGTTGTGTGTAGTACAAGGAGTGTGTTCTTACCGTTTTATAGTTTAGGGCGGCGTAGGAGGCCTTTCATCGGTTTATTCTTGGCCGTTGCCTGAATATGTTGCCGATGGATACGTACAGAGTTGGGGTTGCGTGAGTGCTTGGTTGGAGTAGTGAGGCTGGCCGATTGACTTTTGCTGGGAGAAAATGAAGGGTTGAGAAGTTTTTTGGGGTGTAGTCGGTTGGAGAGGGGCTGAAGTGCTGGACGATTGGGGCTGCTGAATTGCTGGGAAGAAAGGAAGGTTGTTCCTTTTAGAATGGGCTCAAAGTTTTATTAAGCGGGCTGTCTTTCCTGGGTTTCGCACTCATAGTTGATAAGCTGCTCATCCAGGCCTATTTAAATGGATGGAGCAGATCACCCAAAATACTCACAAATGTGTTACTTTGTTTTAAGAAAAATAATCCATAATGTGTTACTTTTTTTTGCAAGACCGTAATGTGTTAGTGTGTTACACTATAATAGATTGGAATTGATTGTATGAGTTCAAACAATCCTAAATTTGACCAAATGTAAATGAAGCCACTACATTGGCGGAATTTACCGGATTATAAAAAAATTAAAATATATTTTATTAATAAAATAATTAGAGAATTATATATTTTTCAAAACTATTTTTGAAAAAAATAAAACCTATAAAAACTACAAAATGAAAGTAATTTATAAAAAAAAGACTAAAATTACTATGGATACATTGTCATTTTCATTTGATGTGAAAATTGAACATAAGTTATATGACTAAAGTTAATACCTTTTTTTTTGCTCCAGGGGGCGTCTGGGGAGGGGGGCTGGGGAGCCTGGAGTAATTGGGGCTGAAACTCATTCCATTCAGTTTCGAACTCGAGACCTCCCGTAAGGTAGAGTGAGTCGACGACCAGCTGGGCTGGACCGCTTCCTCAACTAAAGTTAATATCATAACCACTATACTTAAAACGTCACGATTTCATAAACAATCTTTATTTTAGTTAAAATTATGTCATTTCAACTTCCATGAGTATGTTCCAATCCTATATTAAGCAATTTATATAAAAAGTATATATGGAGTATATTTTATACTCAAAGGTTTTGAGACGTAGTACTCAAAGGTTTTATACTCTTAAGGAACAATGCTAATAGCAGGGGTGCATCGAGGAATTTGTGATGCCCTGGACTGAATAGAAATTATACTAGGTTTAACTGTTAGAGGGGTGGGCTAAACGTGAAAAATTAAAAAATTTACACTAAAGAAATTTAAAATTTTCTAAATTGCCCTGGGCTTCTGTCTACCATAGCCCGTGCATAGATTCTTCCCTGAATGCTATGGTATCTACATTTTAGAAGTGAGTATAATTAAGAAATTTAAAAACGTTTAGTTAAGTAATATAATAAGGTGTAATTGTTATTTCGTGGATAAGGATAGTACAGAGGAGGAGCTATAAATGAAGTAGCTTTTATTGGAAAAGTAATTTCGGAAACTCAATCTTCTCATTGTGACTTTGTGATTAAAAGTGATACAGTGTTTTAATCTTTTGATTATCTAGAGAAGGTTGGTCATTAAGTGGTACAAGGTTTCCGATGTTGGTATATGTTATTGGAGGCATTTCAAAAAATTAATTTGAATTTTCATCTCCACACATGATTTATTTTACGCTAGGAATTATCTCATTTTACTCCATATTTTACAATTTTCTCACTTCATAACGCTTTAAGATAAAAATTATTACTAACTATTGAAGAAAATAGCTCAAATCGTGCATCCCTACACCGTGCATCGCACGGGTGAGTTACTAGTACAGATAGAGAGAAGCAGAATTTACTAGAGAGCAGCCGTGATGAGCAAAAGATCACATGACCTTATTGTTTAAGCAGAAAATGGGTAAACTGCGTCACACATTCCAGGGTTTTTGACACACCAGAGTGGTTGGATCGGTTCAGCGCCTATACCCCGGGAAACCATCCTGTACCTCCATTCATTCAACCTATTGGTAACCTCTCCAGACCTCTTCTTCATTGTCTTCCCCATTTCAACCGTATTCCCGGACCACAAAGATTCAGCCATTGCTGAAGCTCTAGGCCAAACACGAGAATCCAAAACTGTTGCATCTGCTTGTTCAGACCATAATGCCACTTCTCCTCCCAACACTAATTTAGCCTCCTTGTCGCTCAATCCATACGTTATGTCATAGTTGTAAATAAGCTGCCATGTTTTGAAGGGACTACACCACGATCCACCGTTACCCTGGTCAGTTCCAGGTGGCTGATCATACCGGTTATCGTTTCCAAGAAAACCCCCATGCCCACAATCCAAGTAAAAAAAGTCAGATGATGACACGATGACACGATATCCAGCATTGACAATTCTTTTAGTGTTATTAGGCCCGTTGTTCCATGTCTGCAAGATGACATTCTCTCTGGGAAGAGAAGAGGGTGTCACTTTGATGTCAGCACTCAGTAGAACATCTTCCCAGTAGACAACGGTTCGGTTTAAGGAGACAATGTAAGGCAAAGTGGATTTAATGAAGGTTTCAAGTAGTTGACTTAGTGTCCCATTGTCAGAGACAAACTTTTGGATGGATGGATCGATGTTCCAACAATTTGGGTTTATCTCATCCGCTCCCGCGTGATAGAATGTGTCAGGAAACATGGCAATAGTGTCACGGATGACATTCTTGACAACTTGATAGGTTTTTGGGTTCAAGGGATTAAGTTGACCGGTTCCTGGTTCAGCTGCAAGTGGTATGTTGCCTCCATTAGACAACCAGAACATGTTTGGACAAGTCACAATGTCAGGGTAAGCTTCTGCCCACGATCCTGTGTGTCCTGCAACGTTTCCAAACCAGAAGCTTGTCTATCACCATTGTAATCACATATATAAGGTTGTAGATAGATATGCAGGAGATATAAAAAAAGATAGATAAGCAAGAGACTTTGCTAGAGAAACCTTATTGCAAACTCTTGGATCATCATCAATTAGTTTATGAGTTTAAATTTAAAATTTATGTTAAAAAGAACATATTAAATAACCTAGTAATATCTTATCATTTCATCATCATTTTCATTTACCCCAGTGCCGCAGTCTTACCCCTGTACTAAAGTACAGAGAGACTGTTTCCGGATGACCTAGAGTGAAAATCACGTCCAAAATTACATGGACTGACTGCTGCTTCATAACAAAGAAGCAGCAGACAGTTTAGTGAGCCATTTTGCTTTATTCCATCATATTCTCAAGTAAAAAAATAATGAATCTTTGGCATTGCAAATGATGGAAGAACCTAGTAATATCTTATATGCTCACAAATTTTAGAAGAAATATATTATACATATAGGATTATATGACATTCTGTGTGATTTCTTTGTTCAAATAAAACTTCTGGGTATTGTAAAGTAACTCAAAGGTTTAATTAAAAACTTCAAACTTGTTTTCAAAGAAGAAATTTTAAGAGCCTATATGGCAGCTAAAACTGGTACATTAAGGAAAAGTAGCCCACATAGGTAAGACCGTAAGATCTTTGGTAACCTATTATTTTTTCGGCAAAGTAATAAAAATTAGGAAAAATCAGACTTTGACTAACTTTTTTTGACTGAAACTGATTTCACTGAACTGTCTTCTGTTTTACAAAAGTAACCAAATTTAACTATAATTGTGGTTAAAGTTTACATGAGTATCAGTGTATCACCATAAGTTTTCTGTCATTACAAATTTTTAAGCAAAACCTAAATTTAACAATAAATTTTTGTATTTCAAAATTTCGGGAAAATTAACGTACTAATAATTCACCCATGCATTGCAAATCAAGTGGGCAACCCACAACAAATCCAAGACAACAACAATGTAAAAGATATGTTAAAAGTCAATATACAATATGAAATTGAGGAAAAATTAGTTAATTACTCTGTGCATTATCAATATAAATTAGACTAGTGTCCGTGAAGGTTTGGAATCCCCGCATGAGGTATGGTGGCTTTAGGATCCGACCCAAACGGGATCATCACCATCCCTAAAGAAGAAGCACTGCATAAGACGAAAGAGGGAGAAATTGAACCTACCAGGCATGTCAATCTCGGGTACAACCCTAACACCGTATTGCATCCCGAAATCAACAACTTTCTGCACATCCTCCGGGGAGTACTTCATTTCCTCTCCATATGAGCCACGGCCGGCCAACTCCGGCTCTGACGGCAACACCAATGGGAAGGATTGCGAGTCCGTGATATGCCAGTGGAAGACATTCATCTTATTCATACTGATTGCCATAATTAACCTCAACAAATCCTCAACCGCATAGAAATTCCGGGAAGTATCCAGCAGAACTCCGCGGTGAGGGAACAAAGGCGCGTCGGAAATGTACAATCCGGCGGCCACCCGGGACGGGTAGTCGTACACGAGCTGGGAAAAGGTCTCCAGCCCGCGCATCGCGCCCCATACTGTCTGTGAAGAAATTAAAGCGCCGCCGCGGCCGTCGTCCGGAACAGAAAGGGTGTAAGACTCGTTCACTCCGTGAGTTAACGGGGCGGAGACGTCGGAGACAGTGATGTTCAGGTATTCCAGGGGCGGGGACGGCTTGAATTTCAGTGACGGGGGAACTATTGGGCGGTGGAGCTCGGTTCTGAAGACGTTGATGTAACGACTTACGGCGGGAGTCAAGTAGGGATGGGCGGGGTAGTGAACCGTGAAGTCTGGGCTGAGTGGAACTGCGCACGGGCTGGGCCAGTCGAAGATTGTGGGCTTGGGCCAGACGTTGATCGGGAATTCACTGCCAGCTTCCGAGGTAAATGCAGAGGAAAGGAGGAGCAGTAGTGTGGGAATTAGGAAAAATCTGGGGATGAAGAGGTCGGCCATGGCTGCCATCATCCCTTATTCCAGTGAGAATGAGAATGGAAACGACTGAAATTCTGTGTAGGACATTCTTCTGGGCCATTTCTAGGAGTACGCTACCTTTACTTTTCTTCATTTTGTCGGTCTTGTTCAGTTGCTTGTATTGTTGGACATTCATTCACTGCACGCTTAATTATTGCGGAGCAGAATGCGATTATGTTTATTTGATTACATATATGACACACTTTGAAGCTGTTCTCTTCGCCTGATCTGAATGTTTCTGATCTGAATTTTTTAAGTTCTGATCTGATCTGATCTGAATTTTTCTGATCTGATCTGATCTGAATCTTTCTGACCTGATCTGATCTGATCTGAATCTTTCTGATCTGATCTGATCTGATCTGAATGTTTCTGATCTGGTCTGATCTGATCTGAATGTTTCTGATCTGATCTGAATCCTTCTCATCTGATCTGAATCTTTCTGATCTGATCTGATTTGAATATTTCTATTATAATTATAATTATAATTATAATTATAATTATAATTATAATTATAATTATAATATAATTATAATTATAATTATAATTATAATTATAATTATAATTATAATTATAATTATAATTATAATTATAATTATAATTATAATTATAATTATAATTATAATTATAATTATAATTATAATTATAATTATAATTATAATTATAATTATAATTATAATTATAATTATAATTATAATTATAATTATTATAATTGCAATTACAAATATAATTTAAATAAAATTATAATCATAATCGTAACTATAATAATAATAATAGTAATAAGAATAATAATAATAATAATAATAAAAATAATATTAATAATTAAAATTAAATTTAAAATGAAAAAATTTATACGTATTACACTAATTATAAATATAGATATAATTATAATTGTAATTATATTTTTAATTATAATTACTTATATAATTATAATTGTAATTATAATTACAATATTTATCTCTATAATTGTAACTATAGTTATCAATATTATTATAATTACTCCGTAAAATAATTACAATAGTAATAATAATAATATTATTAATAATTATAATAAAAATAATAATTATAATCATAAATTATAATTATAATATAATTATAAGTATAATTATAATTATTATAATTATAATTAATAATAATTATAATTATATTAACATTAATTATAATATTACAATATAATAATAGTAATATAAATGCAATTAATATTATTATAACGATATTATTATATTAATATTATTATTACAATAATATAATAATAATATGATTATTATTATTATAATTAGTATTATATTATTATAATATTATATTATAATTATAATTGTAATCATAATTATAATTATGATTGTAATTATAATTATAATTATTATAATTATAACTAATTACAATTATAATTATAATTAATTATAGATATAATTATAATAATTACAATTGATTATACTTATAATTATAAGAATTTTAATTGTAATTATAATTATAATTACATATAATTATAATATAATATTATAATAATATTGATCATATTATTATTATTACATTGTAATAATAATAATAATAGTCTTCTTAATAATTGCATTTATATTACTATTATTATATTAAAATATTATAACTATTATTAATATCTTATTTTTTTTATCATATTATTATTAATATTATTAATAATGATTATATAATAATAATAATCATAATAGTAATAACAATATTAATAATAATAATTAATATAATAATAAAAGTGATAAATCATGTTTGAACTTTTCTGATCTGATCTGAATGTTTCTGATCTGATCTGATCTGATCTGAATCTTTCTGATCTGATCTGAATCTTTCTGATCTGATCTGATCTGATCTGAATCTTTCTGATCTGATCTGATCTGATCTGAATTTTTCTGATCTGATCTGATCTGATCTGAATTTTTCTGATCTGATCTGATCTGATCTGAATAAAATAAGAATAAGTAATAAGTAATAAGAATAAGACGAACAGAACAACACCTTTCTTTTAAACTTGTGATTTCAGGTTGAGTCACGACTAAATATGTGGAGTGCAAGTTTGATGGAGGTGGAAGTAATGGAATTACTCTTGATAGTAATGAGATATCAGTGTGTGATATGTTTTGTTACTTGAGTTTCATAATTTAGAACTAGATGAAGATGTATCTCATAGACTCACAGCTTGGTTGGATGAAATGGAAGAGTGCATGGAGATTTATATGCGATCGAGGTATTCCGACTAGGCTGAAAGGTTAATTTTATCGAAAAACAATTAAACCTGCATTAATGCATGACCTCGAGTGTTGGGCGGTGAAACAGTGTCACATTCAAAAGATTAGTGTGATAAAGATGTGTATGTTGCGTTAGATGTGTTGAGATATCAGAAAAGACCACTTAAGGAATGAGATAATCAGACAAAAGGTGAGAGTAGCACATATGCAAAATAAGATGCAAGAGTCTTGTTTGAGGTGGTTTGAGCATCTGCTAGAAGACTGAGTACCTGTTAGAAGACTTGAAGGGTGGGGAGAAGAGACAAAGATGAGAGGGAGGGGAAGATCTAAACAGACTCAGATTAGAGAAATTAAAACTAATATGCATCTTCTTGGGTTGGCGTATATTCGTGTTGACGGTTGATCTCTTTTCTATCTTTCCTCTCTTTTTCTTTTATCGTCTATCTTCTTTATCTTGTTATGTTCTTATTTTAATTTTATCTTCTAGTTTTTCTATGCTCTTTTATCTTTTTATCTTTTATCTTTCTTATATTCTTGTGTTATTGTTATCTTATATTTATTTATCTTTACCTTATCTGTTTGATCTTACTTTTTTTTTCTTGTCTGTTTTCACTTTTTGGCACCGATATCATGGATCGATTCATGTTAGCTGACCCCATTTTTTGGGTTTAAGGCTTGGATGTTGCTATTGTTGTTGTTGTTGTATTTTTCTACCTATAATATGCACGAGTTTGTTTTTAGTTCATCTCTAACTCTGAACCACTCTACTTACAAAAACGTTATTGTCAGTTGCATAAATCTTATAAAAATTAAATAAATTTATCCATATACTAGTATAATTTTTTAGGCTAATATGAGAGTTAAAACAATGTAAAATTAAATATTCACATTTTAAAATTTCTTACTAAAAACCTTCCAAGTGATAAACTTAAATAATTTTTGAATAACATGACATAAAATTAGTGAAAATCTATTAGTCGGGGTTAAGTTGAGGTTTAGCGGGGTTGTTATAATCGGTAATGGATTAAAAAGAAAATCAACATAAATTGTAGGGATAAATAAATTACAGGATGTGAAACAAAATGAACTATATTTGCACGGACTAAAAACATATTTAAACCTTTAATCAATGATAATACTTAGTTTGATTTGAATAAGATTTGAGCCTCAGTACCTTGTTCATGATTCCGGTTATGTCTGAATCACAATAGCTGACTTTTGAATTAGAATCGGGGGTTTAATAGCTCGGTTCAATTTTTTCAAAATTTGGAGATGGAACTAATCTAGAATATTGAGAGGTGTTCATGTTGGAAATATTCCGTAGTACAATTATAATTCTTGAATTTCTTTTTATGCTTATTGATTAATTAAGTGATGACATCTCCTAAAAATGATAAGTGCGAGTTGTGGTTACCCTGGCTTATTTGCCGTGTGAACAGTCCCCGATCGTTATCCCTTTTTGCCGCAAGCCCTCCTAACAGCTATCTCCGTTTGTTTTCCCCGTTTTCCCTTTGCCGATGCTGCAGCTTAAGTCGGCTAATACCTTCACCATTGGCCAGTGTACTGTTCTGTCAGATGGATGCCTATATAAACGAAAATACCTTGATTTTGTTCTTCTGTTTTGTTCAGAGTTCATTTCTGCCGGTTTGTTTGGTGCGCTTGCTGTTCGTCGATTCTGTGAGCTTTCGTTACTCATCATCTTCCCCTCTTGTGCGGATGATTTTCAGCTTCATATGTTTGCGTGGGTTAATTAGATGATTGTTTCTATGCTAATTGCTGAGTAAATATAAGAAGAGGAACACCTGAATTGTCTGAGTAAACCCGTTACATAGCTTCTTCTTTGTCTGTCAAGGTGTGGTTGTCTCTGAATTGATTTATCTTTTTCTTCTCTAAACTTAACCTACCTTGTTTGTGCAATTCTCGTTTCATATCTTCTTCTTCTTCTTTCTCTGTCAAGGTGTGGTTGTTTCTGAATTGATTTTATCTTCTTCTTCTCTAAACTTAACCTATCTTGTTTGTGCAATTCTCGGTTCTTGCTTTGTGAGTCACTTTAACTACAGTTTCCCCAAATTGTTCCTTTGTGCTTGGTGGAAATTACTTTCCCTAAAACTTCCCCTTCTTGCTTGGATTTTATTTTATGCGTACCAAAAACTCTAGGCCCTCTCCAAGCGTTGGCAGCAAGTCTTTACACACAGGCGATTGGCCAGTTATGCTTCTTAGCAAGGCTGGTACAAATACTTATCAAGGTAAGGGCATTGACATTTAAATTTTTATATGAAATTCTTCTCAGTTGTTATAATCTGCTTGTTTTGAATACAGGGCTGTCGCTGACCACTCGCTATGACTCAGAAATGGAACTTAACCCGGGCGGTGAACTCGCTTCGTTGCTGAAAAAATGGTATGTTTTTTTTTTGCACAATGAAGCTTTAATTTGTACCATGTTCCTGCCTCACACTCTTTTATTGTATTTATTAAAAACATTAGTATTAAAGAAAAAAATATAAAGCTACATTCCAATTACATGCAAGTCTTCATTGTATTTCACAATTTCAAATGCATTTAGATAACATAAAAACCATGGACTTCACGATTTAAAGACCTGGATGTGTAAGAGTATATTTTTATTCGGGTATTTAAATTTTGATAATAATCAGGTATGTACCTTATATGAGAATTTTATGGGGCTGCTTTTTAATCACTTCTCTTTTTCATCATTTGATACATATGTTTATTGGTCTTTTTAGGGGAAAGTACACTCTTCCTACCACACCTCTGATGGTGCAAAACCACTATATCTTCATATTTCCACTGCAGCACATGTAATTTGCTCATCTTCTGTAATTCATTTGTGATTCTTTTAACGAAGTGCCACCTAATACATTCTGAGCTCAAACATCACATTAAGTGTATTTACTTTTCGTTGTTCTTCTACTCTTACAAAGGCTTTCATTTTTTTTCTTTATTTGTATTTTTAATGAACACTGTAAATTCGTGTCAATTATTGTTGCACTATTATTATTTTAATCTTAGGGCATAACATTTGCATAATCTACTTATCACATTAAGTTGGGGCCAATGGCTAGGTCACACCGGCCTATTTCATTGTCCATCATATTTACCAACTTTTTTTTGCAGTTCTTTAGTTATGATGCATGATGTACATGATGAAACGCATGCGATTAAATTTCCCTGCTTTTGAAGGAACAAGGCCATAACCTAACTGTTGTATTTCCTTGTTGCACATGTATTGGTTCCATATTACTGTGTGTTTTTGGTACGCATAAAATAAAATCTGGTAAAGATCATCCAGAGATACGATTGAAAATTTCCTTTATTTGGTAAAGAGACTGAAATGTTGATTCAATTATATAAAATATATGCATAATTTGCTTATAGTATCTTACAAAGAGGACAGAATAATGAGCTTAGAGCTATTCTAGCTTATGTGCTTTTCTAATTCGTCCCAAACTAAAAGTAGATGATGCTCTCAATTTGAATTCTGGTTTATCTTGGCAGGTCCTTTTAAAAATATACGAAGTTTATTGATACCAAAGCTTTTGCTAAAATATGATATTCCCAGAAAGACATTGTCTGACTGCACTTCTGCCTTCTATTGATATCAATTTTTTCTGATTGTTGAAGGATCTTTTCATTTGCTTATGTTTTGTTATCCTTTGTTTGCAGGAAGATCTATGGCAACAGGTTTTTCCTGTCGGTACTGAGGTGTGCTTCTGATAGATTTCTTAATGTTATCAGCCAGCATTAGGGAATTGAGATTAGATAGAATCACAATGGTACTTACCAATTCTCTCACTAACTTGGATTTTTAATTGATCTCCTTTTGCAGTGGGATCAGCTGGACATGGTATATCAGTATAAGTGGAGTTTCTCAAATCTGGAGGTTAGTAGTTTAGTTTGCAAAACTGCTTTGTTTGTATTTTTCCTTTGAAATTGGTTTCACCAATTCAATTTATAAAACTAAATTTATGAAGAGAATGTTACTGAATTGAAATGTGTGCACAGGATGCTTTTGAAGAAGGAGGAAAGTTATGTGGAAAAAAAGTATTCCTTTTTGGATGTACAGAACGTAAGTGCCCAATGTAACATAAGTTCATCCTCCATATTGGAGTTAGTGTGCACTATAGCATTCTGGTTGAATTACATCATATGTTTTCTATGTGATGGGCAAGTTAAGATTATTCTACAATAGAATTTAATATTGATGTGTCTTTCAGCGATCTACTGCCTCGTTGCATTAATGGCTTACAGTACGGTCTAGATTTTTAGCATTTTTTACTGGCCTATACTATTTCAACAGTTTTGGTTTGTCATTTTCATCTCCCTTGGTATAACACATTGTTTACATACCTTTTGTATTTTTTCTTTTCTTGTTATCAATTATCTTGTTCTAAATTCTCCTTTATTTGCTGCAGCACAATTGGTTTCATTCCAAGGTCAGTCAAAAATCACTTGCATACCAGTTATGGTTGCTGTAAGTTCTTAAGCTTTTTATATTACTCCTATCTGGCCATGAATTGTCCTTTTGCCTGTTGAAATTTAAGTCTATAAAGTATCCCATTTGTTCTAAGGCGCATGAATAAAAAAAGCAAGCATCTGTTGTCATACATTGATCTTGATGTATTTATAGCATTTTTGCAATTGTGTCCTACTTCATATATTTGATGTCTTGCTACTCTTAATTAGTGTTGATATTTTTCTCAACTCTCTTCCCAAATCTCTTATTGGACAGGTTGTTTCACCTTTTCCACCTTCAGACAAAATTGGAATAAACTCTGTACAGAGGGAAGCTGAAGAAATAGTGCCCATGAAACAGATGAAAATGGATTGGATTCCATATATACCTTTGGACAATAGGTATTGTCATATATTTGTTAAATTCACATAAAGGGATTTTACTGGGTGCATTATTTTATTTTTATATGAATTGTTTATTCAATTTCTTGTTCATTCAGGGGTTCTCAGGTTGAAAGACTCAAATCCCAAATTTTTATATATATTGTGCTGTACACAAAGAAGGTATGTTGCCTTGGGCATTGAAATACTTTATACTTTGTGCCGGTTTTATGACATCCTATTGTTGGGGCCCCTAGAATGCCTTTTAAAACCTAATAGTTGGCCAACAGATTTATGGTATACCTTTGAAGTTTTCTTATTCAGTTATTTGTCCAAAGTCCAAACAATTGTTTTTATTGTGGGCTTATTTTTTCAAAATTAGGATGACCAGCAATTCTATTGTTGTACAGTGTTTTTTAAGTTAAACACGCTTACCAAAAATCATTTTTGTATCCCCTCACTTCTCTGTCGAGCATCGGTAGCACCTTTTGGCCTTAAGTGTTCAACTTTCTGAATTAAATCATCTTCATTGTCTTCATAGAGCTGGCTTAAAACATTTGAAGTTGGAGCGTGTGAAGAAGTTTGAATATTGCTTACCATGTGAGTGAATATATTTTACCTTGCTAAGTATTTGTATTTTCGCTAATCAATGGCAGCATTTTAGTGATGCATTTCCTTGGATGTACTCTGCTTTATACTTGGGCTGGCGTGTGTATTTTAACTGTCACTGAATAAATGTTTCTAATAGGATATGCATTTCCTTGCTGAGATATGCATTTTAGAGTTATGCATTCTAAACAACATGGAATTTTGTTGTGTGCCTTATGAGACTAAATTGAACTTATTTTGTCATTCACCCATGGAATTTCGATACTTGCTGAACGTGTATTCTGTTTCTGATTTGTAATTTGTTTCATTCTTTTTACCACACATGCACATGAGTCATAGTCTATTAAATGTAATTGACAAAGAGTAATGATATTGTGCACCATTTCATATTGACATGTTGTGTTGCTTTACTCTTTCGGTCATATGTCATGAAAATGATTCATCAATGTATCTTTTCACCAATTCATGTATTAAATCCATTTCTTGGATTCAATAATTTTTCATTGGTACTCACTGTGGAGCTATGTGCTGTTATTTTGTGTATATAGCCTCAAAGGGAAGTCAACTCACAAATGTCTAATACTTTCACAGATTTCTACCACCCCTTCAAGGAAGATGAGTATGAACACAGCACTATTGTTCCTATCATTTACCCAATAGATCCCAAACCTGTATGATTTGTTTGTATTTAGAAGTCTAAAACAAAATGTCCTTAGGAGCTCAGATATTACAAGATACCTTTACTAAAATATTCTCTTTCATTTTATATTTGATCTTTTCTTATAGGTTTTCTGTGAATTTGATTAGGAATTTGATGAACTTGAGGTAACCTACTAATCTTTTGCCATCCATCCCACTGTTTGTGATAACTGATAAGTCCGGTCACTTGCTGGGTTAACAATGTGGACTGTTATGAAGTCCTAAATGTGATTTTATTTTAATCAAATACTCCGTATGTAATTGTGCCATGTCTGTTATATTTGACAGGGATGGCTTTGTTTTGAACTTGGTTGGGGCCCCTTCAGGTAGTATCATGAACGACACTCCCCCGGGTATGTTTCCCATCGATTGAACTATCTCTCACGCATCATTAAACCCATTCATCCCCACCCCCACTTTCCAACATTATTTGTGTTCTTCCCAACTTTACTATCCCATGTTTTCAATGGTTTTCTGCAATCTCAGTGTGTTAGTTGTGTTCCTACCCATTGTATTCCTGCAAATTTAACATGTTTTCGTTTACATTACAGATCCATTTTTTATGCGTGTTGAATCATGCTTGCCGAACTACCCGTACAAGAAACTGTACGAGTTCGCTTCGTTCTTGTATGTCCCTAAACAAACTACAAAGGTATTTCTTTATCCTGCATTCAATATTCCACCTTCTTCAATCTGATTTGTGTTCCACGGCTTTCAACTCACCTTCACTTTTGTCCTGACTGTAGCAAAGCTGTGAAGCTTTCCTCCACCATTCCAGCGACGCAAAGGGCCGCTTACAAGCTTTCCTTGGAAGAGATGATGCATGTATGGTCACTGGGAACGGTCCAATACTGTGCCAACTTCAAATGACTTTTCAACTCAAGAAACGAACAATCTTGGTGTTCTTCATGCATAGCCGCGGTAGGGTGCGCCTGATTGCTATGTCACGTTGTGGTTTAGAGACTCCCCCATTGAAGTGTTACTCATACGAGATAACAACAGCATCATGTGCCCACCCTCGTGCCCAACCTTGACCTCTTAATATGTTGACAAACTTTTGCTATGTCTTGATTATTACTTTTGTGTTTTCTACTTTTGATGATGATGTCGCTCCAGTAACTACAAACATACGCAGCTGTTTCCCCTCTCTACTAAGCCAAGACATGTCCATTGTATGCTTAAATGCTTGTTTCCTCTTGTACTCTGAATTGACATTACTCATTTCAAACTTCTAACTATTGCATAGTTGATTGGGCATTCTGTTTTAACATGTTTTACCCAATTTCCGACTTCGTTTTCAAACGTTGGGCACGGATATCGCGCAACGCGCGTTTCTATGCTAGTATTTATGATAAGTGTCAGTTCTCTTTATTATTCCATAATATTTACCCTCAATTAATTAAAAGCGCAGTTATCTTCAAGAATTCATTTGAATGTCTCCCCGATTGAATTTCTAGCTGAAATTTGTTATGAGTAAACTAGACTTAATGAATAAGATGCTCAAAAAATTTCATCAAAAAATTCTACCGGGAGCCACCTCAAATGGCACGTCCGGACAGAATCTTCTATATAAGGACTTATTTGACCCCTTTTTTGCAACTTCGAAGACCAAACTGACCCTTTACTCTTAAATTTTTATAGAGGTGTGTGAATGGTCTAGATGATTTTTTCTCATTTCGACATTGTGAGGACAAATATATCATTGAGGCTCTTGGACAAGTAAAATTAATTAGCATAACCATGAACAAAGAAACATCCATTGAGAAAAATAAGGAGGGCACGAGCTCATCTTATTAAATCAAAATATCATTTGGAACAAGGCAATTAGCTATCAAAATAAATCATTAAATAGGTTATTTTGGATTTAATACAATGGATATAACTTGGGAATCTTAACACTCTAATGGCTTGTGGGCATGGAACAATTATATGATCCAATATCTATCTTGCATAAATCTAAAAAGTGAAATACCTGCAATGTCAACCCCAATTAAACATAGAAATTTTGAAATATGTTGAACGAGGTTCTGCATAAGGGGGTTTCGGTAATAAAATTCTCTTTCCTCTTCATATTATATATGGATGCCACGAAAGTCCAGTTATAGACTTATAGGTATGTATATCTACACTATCAGATCATGTAGAGAAATATCGTGTAAAGAGAGCGTTATCATCACAACACCTCCAAACGATTCGTGCGTGAGCGTGTTGATACTTGTGGCGCTCGAAAAAGTTATCTTAGATCATTTGACATTCTACGTGTGTTCAAAACTCTGTCTGTATGTTTCCTTTCATGTAGTTCGTTTAAAATATCAACTCCAAATTGTGTTTGAAATTCTGAGCAGATAACAAATTATTTTCTGTTGTGCTACCTCTACCCCAAATCCTATAGGTTATCTGATCATGAACTCTCTTAAGTGTGTATTTGATTTTATAGATCGTTTTCACCTTGTTCCTTTAATGTTTTTTCCATGACATCTTCATGTGATTTATAGGTTACTGAATTAAATTTCAACTACAACTCTCACCATTTCAGTCAGAATTTTAAATAAGGATATGATGAAAAGATGGATACAACATCACCATCATTCAAGGTCTGTTAATTGAATGGTGGTCTAAACAATCGTTCATCCCAAATTGATTAAAATAAGGAAGATTATAGTATGCTGATGTAATGATAAACCCAAAACGGACTTATCAATGTGATTCTAGAGAAATATATATACATAAATTATGTTACAACAAGTTTATATGTAAACGTATACAATTTTTATACATTGGGATAAAGTGGGCTTTAGTATGGGCAATTGCCTTTCAATTCATGCCCCTTTGTGGACCACTTTTTGTACTCTTAGGGTCAATATTGACAAGATGAAAGTTCATAATCAAAAATTGAAATGAAAGGATTGCGGTTGAACCAAAAGTAAAATCTTTTCTTAATAAAGTTCTGTTATAATTTTATTGTTTTAATGGAATTGGAAATTGATTTTGTTTTCATATTATGAGATTAACTAATTTCTAGAAGTGATGAACATTTTCAAATGGGGACGAATAGTGCGTCTTAACTCTTAACATATTGCATTTCATACTATAAAAACAAGAGGATCAAGTCTTCGTCCAGACAAATAGTGCGTCTAAACTTTCAAATGCAATATGTTAAGGCGATGTTTGCGTTTGCTTGTGCTTATCAAAAGTGATTTTTTAAGTGATTATTGGAAAAGTGATTTATAGTAAAAGTGAGTAGTGTTTGTAAAGAGAAGTGATTTTAATCAAAAAGTAAAAGGTGAAGTGTTTGATAAAAAAAGTGATTTGTGGTATAGTATATGAGTGAAAGTACAAAAATACCCTTTCAATTATTATTTGTAATACATTTCTTCTCCTAGTCCTGGACCGCCAATGATTTCAAGCTTCAACCGTTGCTTTTGGTAAGATCAGGCAAACAATCTCAAAAAAACATATCCAAACAAAATTGGGTTTAACAAAATTCTCAAAAACAGGATAAAATTAGTGAATTCAAGTTTGTTTGTGTTGGCGTGTTGCTTTGTTCCCGCTGGACTGACCTTCGGAAATCAAGGTGGAGCTTTATCGGTCGGGAAATAGAGAGATGAAGAAGATCCGCTTTTAGATCAAATGAGAAGAATAAAATTAATCAACGCAGTTTTGTTGGTGTTTCTTTGTTCCCGCTGGTCTGACTTTCGGAACTCAGGATGCTTGAGTGACAAAAGAGATGAAGAAGAAGGGTAACATGGGCTGATGGGCAGAAGAGCAGAAAAGTGAAGGGATAAAAGTCTCCTCAATTTTGCATTTATTTACAGTTGTACCTAAAAGCTGATAAAAGCACCCCAGAGGTGCTTTCAGCTTCTACGTAAAAAGCACTTAAGTGAAGCTAAAATTTGTAATAGCAAACACTCCAATCAGCTTTTCTTTAAAAAAAAAGCCTAAAGTGCTTTGTAAAATCAATAGCAAAACACTGCCTAAGTTGTTTCACCCTAAGAGGTTAATTTCGTAAGAACAATAGCCCAAAGTGTGGGATAAATAATTCAACATGCTCCCAACCAAAATAAGGGTGAACAACTTGATGCTATACAATTAATAGTTAAACCTGTACCATTAAGTTTAGACTTAATTGTCAAGCCTAGACTGCTTGATGTTCTATTTCGGGCCATAACGACTTTCACTTTGAAATTTTTTCAATATATATAAATATTAAACTCTTCAAATCAATCCGTTTAACAACATGGTCCAATGATTAATCCTATTCTATACTATTTGTAAAAGGATGGGATTTCCAAGAATATGAATTTTAAGATGAAATCTTATGGAACCAGTTAGAGCCTTTTTGAATGGTTAGTTGTTGCTTAAACGGTCAAGCTAAATTTTGGAAAGAGTTGTTTTACCAAATTTCTTGTGTTGCTTTTGCTTGATTGTGAGAAGATCAAAGTATGATTAAATTCTTAACCCTAAAGCTAGTGCTTAGTTGAACTAGTATAAATAAGTATGTCATACATCTTTCTCTTTAAGTTTTTGCACCATTTACTTTAATAAAATCGAGAAATGTTTCAAATCTGTGATTTCATGCATTCTGAAGAATCACTTTCAGGCTAAATACTCAAACATAAGTGCAAAGATGCGTTGGGAATCTTCAAAGAATAGAAAAAGCTAATGCAAAATGCTTAGTCTTTGTGTATCGATTTATATAAAGAATTTGTTCTAAATGGGACTAAAACATTAAGAAAATTCCAAAGTAGGACTACAAGTTTATTATTTCCAAGATAGGATCCCAGATTACATTTTTGCCCTCTCCTGTATTAATTCAATTCACCAACTTCTCTCCGAATCAATCCCGTTAATATGCAACTTCTCTCCTGGCCTTGGAATTGCAATCCTTTGTCTGCAATTGAACGCAAGGATTGTGCCTGCGACGGAACGCAGCTCCTACATCATCAACGGCGGCCGCCCTCCCCATCGACGCCAATCATACCTATTTCGCCGGCAAAAATAGGTAATCCTCTCCAACTTTCTTCTTCTTCTTCCTCTTTCTTCTTCTTTTTCTTTTTTCTTCTTCTCCTTCCTGTTCGATCTTCATCTTCTCATCATCTTTGTGGTGCTCTGTTTGCTTTTTCTTAGAATGATTTTGATTTCTCTTAATTCTTTTACTTTTCTAAAAATAATCTCACTTGTAACCATTTAGATTCAACGTGAGGTTTCAACCAACAACATTTTTATTTGAGCTGTACGAAGTATTATGATTTTGATTAACGTAACTGGGATTGGATTTGAATTTTATTTATTAATTTGGATTTTTAGTGTTTGGATTTTATTTTTTCAGAAAAATGTCACTTCTATAATCTGAGAATGTCAAAATTATTGGTTATTTGAAAAAACTGTCATGTTTGTGGCAATAAATTTATCCAGATGACAATCTGAAAATGTCATATGTCAATAAGAAAATGTCATTCTTATGCAGTTATGCCATTTTATGTCATATTTGAGAATGTCATGTTTTGAAGAAAAAATGTTACTTTTATGGCAGTACTATGACAATCTTACTTTGAAATTATAACATTTGTAATGTCACTTTTTCAAAGTGAGATTGCCATCTTTATAAACATGCTGCCATAAAAATGGCGTTTCTTCTAATAATTTTGACATTCTCAGATTACAAAAGTGACATTTCCAGAATTTACCAGGATTAAACAAAATTGAAAAAAAAAAATCAAATATATTCGATCATGGTCATACGTTGAAACTCACTTTTCATCTCAATTTTTAGATCCAAAATACTATTTTCATTTGTTAATAGAAAAAAATTGAAAAAATTAAAATACAGAGAACCTGGAAGAAGACAAGAAGAGGAGTAAGAAGAAGAAAAGAAGAAAAGGGAAAAAAGAAGAAAAGGAAGAAAAGAAGAAGAGTAGCAGATCTTCGCAGAGTAGCAGCGGCTCCATACGGAAGCCTGGAGTTTTATATTGAGGGGCAATTTTGTCAAGCTGCTATATTTTAGTCCTAAAAACGTTCAAAAAAACATGGTAGTCCTGGTTTTGAAATTTTCTATTGTTTTAATCCTATTTAGGGAATTTACTCATTTATATTGAGGTTTGGATTTGTAGTGCTTCATTTAGTTGAAAAGACTCAAAGACTTTTTTGAGTGCACATAATTCAATATCACTCTTAATGGAAGGTGTTGCTCCCCTTCCACAGTGTTGACTCCCTCTTTCGCGGCTGATTCCAATTGATTCCGTTAATCCTCTAATTCCAATTTTGCCGTCTCAGAGGTCCACAAGCAAAGCAGGAATTCAATCATGTGCATACCCCTGAATCTCTCCATACCATGAACAGAGCGATGAGTAATTGTCTAAAATCCTCTCCTTAATAGCACTACAATTCCAGAAAAGATCTTCCCGCCCATCTGAACTCTTCATATCACCCGTCCGATTTTATTAACCTCAATCTACGGTGTCTACCTTCCTCTTAAATGCTCTTTCCGTTTCTTCCATCTCCAATTGACGGAAACTTCTCAAATCTCTTTCACTCATACCTTCACTAGATCGATTAATTATTCTTCTCAAATCAGAACATCTAGCCGAAATCAATTCCATGGATGAAATGGAAGGTGTTGCTCCCCTTCCACAGTGTTGACTCCCTCTTTCGCGGCTGATTCCAATTGATTCCGTTAATCCTCTAATTCCAATTTTGCCGTCTCAGAGGTCCACAAGCAAAGCAGGAATTCAATCATGTGCATACCCCCTGAATCTCTCCATACCATGAACAGAGCGATGAGTAATTGTCTAAAACTACTGAAATCCCCTCCATTCATATCATCTGCTAGATCGGTTACTTCTTCTGAGTTCAGAACAACCTCTATAAATGTTGAGAAATCTCCCAGGCGTTTGATTGTCAAAAGGTATTTTCGCATTCTAGGTTTGATTGTAAGAAGGATTTTTGGTATTTAAACATTGAAGTAATTTGTTTACATCTGGAACTTAATGAGTTAATGGATATCATCTACTCTTCGTTAAATTTCCTTTTACCATATTCATAATGGTATGTTTTGGTTTGGTATTTTGGTTTAAGAAAAGGTCTTCCTTTTTTTTCCAGGATCTTTTGGCATTCTTGGTTCATTAGCATTCTGGCCGGAATGAACTTTTTCACGATTGAATTCAGATTGTGTTGTTTTTGAGGTATGATAGGCAAGATAGTTTGTTGTGTTCCACTATTTTTGCATTCTGCATATTAACTTCATTAGCTACTTTTATGCTAAAATATTCATTTCAACTTTTATGTGAGGTAGAATATTAGGTATGGTGGGAATGAAGTGTAGAATATTTTTTCTGTCAGAACTTTTCCATTACAATATGCATGTTATGCTTCAAATTTTAGGTGTCTAGCCATGGAAAGAAGTGATTTTAACCAGATTTTGCTTTCAGTTTTTAGTCATGGAAAGAAGTGATTTTAAGTATGATATGCAAGATAGTTTGTTGTGTTCCACTATTTTTGCATTCTGCGTATCAACTTCATTAGCTACTTTTATACTAAAATATTCATTTCAACTTTTATGTGAGGTAGAATATGAGGTATGGTGGGAATGAAGTGTAAAATATTTTATTTGTCAGAACTTTTCCATTACAAAGTATGCATGTTATGCTTCAAATTTTAGGTGTCTAGCCATGAAAAGAAGTGATTTTAACCAAATTTTAGGTGTCTAGCCATGGAAAGAAGTGATTTTAACCAAATTTTAGTCTGTTACTAGATCCTAATTCCATGTTGCCTATGTTCATTTTTATCAAAACATTCAGCGCATAACCAATCTTTTAACCTGATTTTGCTTTCAGTTTCCCTAATACTTTAGTAGATAGCATTAAAAAAAATCAAATCTAAGTTAATCATTGCCTCATATTGCTCTTTAACTTGAATTGAAAATGCAACTAAGATAAATACTAACTTGCCTAAATGGAATGCTTTTCCTTTATTGTTTTTGGTTGGACATTTTGTAGTGGAAGCATGAAGAGAAAATGAAATCTTGGGCTCTTTAATTTTCTGGAGCCCGGAGTCTCAAAAATAATAATACTTTGAACTACTTCTGCACTAGAACTCACCACATCATCTCATTCTTCTTTAGAGTTGCCTTTTACATCATGTAAACATGCTATGAATAACCAAGAATGAGAGTGTATTTTTTGAATTCAGTCCACTATTCATTTTTGTGTTTACAGTCTTATCCATGAAATTAACAAAATAATAATAGTCTGGACTTGTGCACCAGAACTCACCATATCATCTCATTTTTCTTTAGAGTTGCCTTTTACATCATCTAAACATGTTATGAATGACCAAGAGTGAGAGTGTATTTTTGCTATCTAATTTAGTGGCATATCCAATTTTAAGCATACTTAGCTTCAGTTTCCCCAATACGTTAGTAGATAGCATTTAAAAAAACTAATTTGAATACTGCCTCACATTGCTCTGTAAAACTAAGATATATGCTAATAGAGCAAAGTGTTATAGCAGGGAATCATCTGAGATGAGCTGTAGGGATTAGCACCTTGGATGCAAGATTAGTGAAGTTCTTAGCACCAAATATGTTGTACATCTTTGGAATTGCCACCATTAACCTCTAAAGGATTGTAACCTTTAAAACTTCAACTCCGGCTCATGATTTTTTCTGTTAGTGCCAATTCATGAAGAGGTAATATTCTTATGTCTATTTGATTTATATTAGTTCTTTATGTTTCTTTATTCTTAAATACAAGGTATGTATGTATTTGGTTTAGCTTAGTTTGTACATATGACTGATTGTGCGGTGTGCACTTTATTTACACGAAAGGTTCAATGTATTTTTTCTATAAATATGCCTCATATAGTTTTGACCTATTGCTTATTGTTTCCCTTAATGGTGTCATTATCAATGGGTTAATGAAGAATAAATTGAAATCCAGGCAAGGGAAGAAGGTCAATCCATTGGTAATGCAAGTGATTCTCAAGAACCAGAAACTTTAAGGGATATGCTTTAATGACATTTAATCTTTGTTACATTTTCTGAAAACGACATTAATATTAGTATGTTTGTTTTGTTTGATTTTAGGGTTATTTTTTCAGTTGATTTAATAACAGGTTGTAAGCTTCGTTTTAGCTGATTTTGCTATAACATTGTAAAATTTAAACCAAGTCTTGAACCAGTTCATTAATTCGAATACTTCGAACCACTTCTGGCTTTCTTTCGTAAATTTATATTACCACCATTGTAAAAAATAATGAATGTTTTATGTGCATTTTTGCTGCTGTCTTATGTTTTTAATGTTAATTTACTTCAAAATATTCACTATGTGTCATGTGAATAAATCATCCTACATAATTGCATTACTTTGTTGTGCAGGTGGCATTTTCCAGCTCAAAATCCTAGCACATTACGGCCGTATGATAGAAAAAAATATATACGGCTTTCAGGGACATCGTTCGTTCATCCCCACCCCTAAGTCGTTAACTCCTGTGCTTAACATCTCTTCAATGAATACATCGCAAGCTTTCTATTCTCCATGACTCCATCGCCTTCATCATCTATACAGGTAAATTTCTACCATTTTCCTTCATTTTTTCTACCTTCACCCCCTTCCCATTTTCCAGCCTTTTCAATCCAGGTCAATGTTCATCCCCTTCCTCGACTTTGGCCATCATCACCATCAACTCCAGATATAGCTTCTGTACAACGCGATTAGCCTATGATAAGAAATTAGTTGATTCCCCACTGATATCACCACGGAAATCGTTGAAATGTCTTTTACATCTTATTCATTTCTATCATCAATCGTCAGATTCATAACAAATTTCATTCTTAACATTGCCGATTCTTGGCCTCCATTTCTTATGACTTCATATCCATTCAGGTACGAAAATTCATTTTCAACATTCTATGCTTAAATATTCACTCTAGAATACTTTTTTATTTATTTTTTATTACTAAAGTTCACTCAGCCATGTGAGTTCTTATATAATCTAACTATAAAAATAATCTCAAAGTGTTATTTGATGAAAAGTTTGCATTTAGCAGCCCCACTTTTGATTTTTTGAATATATAGCGAATTTTGTTCAAATGGTAATCATATAAGAAGTATGTACCTTTAAATAGGTGTTGGTTGTACTCTATGAACCCAAAAAATTGGGATACTGAAATTGATTCGAACATTTTTATGATTTTGTTGGCAAGATGCAAACAATACGTTTTTATGAATATTGAAAGCATATAATGTATTTATTAATGAAACTTTCAGTTTCCTTACTCCTTATCTAGAATGACCAGAATGTATGTCATTGTGGAGTTTTTCTGTTGATTGTATGCGAGTGAGTGATGAACATTCTGATAAGGAAGTCAATTTATAGGTACATTCCCATTTTCAGATTTTCAAAGATTGTTTACAAAAAATGAATAGACTAAAGAGGTGCATACAAGGTTGTGCATTTATTTTTCAATATTTGTATAAACATCAAACTATATTATCTAATACTTTGTAAACGTTGTAAATTATCTCAGTTAATTTCCAGGGATTTCATAGGCCTTTAATATTCTTTTAATGGCCCAAAATGAATAAGTTTCTCAATTTTGTTCGTAGTCTAAGTGAAACGGTTTCTAAAAAACCTACTTTTGAAACACAGAAGACAATCCCATGTTTAGTACTAATTCTGCATTTTCTTTATTTATGTTTGTTTGAATTCAATTTTTGGGCTTTTTAAAAAGAGGTTTTGTAGTTAGTTTTATTTTAAAGTTGTCTTTTATAGATTTAAATCCAAGAATGCACTGTTAAGAATACAATTTCTTGAGTTTTAAGATACTCAAAGTTCAATTTCTGCAATTTTCTTGATTTTCATTTGTACTTACATGAACACATCGAAACTGTACTTTGAGTTTATTTTAAAGTTGTTTTGATTAAATACATTAATCTTTATTGTAATTTTTGTCAAACAAAGATACTATATGAGTCAAAAGTATAAAAAAAGAACAAAAGTATAAAGATGTATTTCATAAGAGTGATTTAAGTTAATGCAGCCTATTGTAGAAATAAGACAGTACATAAGATCATATTCTAATGTTTTTCAGATTTGTGCTTGATTTGTTTTCATAAATTTGCGTTTTTAGAGCGGAAGTCTATGATTGTTTTGAAGTGTTTGGAATCACTTTCCGGCCATTCAAGCTGCAATGAAATATGCTATACGTCTAATAGGAAAAGAAGTTAAAACTATGTTGTTTTAAGCTTTTAAAACTCTATGGTAAGAAACAGGGGGGCTTCCTAACATATTTAAACATCAAGTTAGTGTAGATCAAAACTTTTGATTTCTTTTTGTCCTGGGTTAATGATCTAGATCAGCTTGGTTTTGATAAAACATAAGGAATACAATTTGTTACAATCTCACTGGAGCAACTCTGTAATTGACAGGCACATATACCTTTACACCATAATTGATGAATTCCATAAAACATTTCTAAGACAGAACTGCACTTATATAATATTGCTCTAAGATTATAAATAACATTCTTAAGCACCTGAAGATAAACTACAGTAGAGCATGCAGTTATAATCCTCCTATGACGTGAAAACAGTTTATCAAGATTTCAGAGGCCATGTTATAACTTTGTATTCAGCATTTGATTATATTGTGTATTCTTCTTATCTCTCTTTTCTTCTTTTATCTGTGTGTAAAATCAGTGCTACACAGCTGGTTTTAAGGGCTCATAAGGAGGCTGTAAATTCACTAAGTGGGAATAGGTCAAGCAAGTTGGGAACAGTTGCCACTGTAGTAGCTGCTACTAATTCAATGAGCATTGCTTTAATAGCAATGAAGATCCATACACCTGACAACCTCATGGATGATATGTCAATTACGACGGCTCAATGGGAAAAAACGTAATGATCCCAATTTAAAAGTTGTTTACTAAGAGTTATTAAAAGGCTTAAGTGAAGAAAGCAACCTGGAAATATTTTGTTCATTCCTCCTCCAGAGCTTCCAGATACTTCATTTGATTAAAAATACCTTTGAACTTGTGTCTCAAATGTTCTGATAAATTTCTTGAACTGTATCATATGGAGTAATGGAACCAATAATCCTATTTTCCCTGCTAAGTTGTGCTATTTTTTTCGTTTTTCTTTGTTCTGTCAGTTTCTTTTCGTCATTGCGTTCTTATCATATGATCCATGGCTTTGGATTAATCAAGAGACAAGAAAACAACTTGGAAATGTATTGTTTTTGCATCTATTAAATGGTTAAGGTACTTTATATATTTTGCCTATGTCATGTTTGTTAAAATGCTTAAGTGAAGAAAACAACTTGAAAATATTTTGTTCTTGCAGTTGTTAAATGGTTGACGTACTCTATAATTTGTTTTTTACACATTAAGTTGTGATCCAATGTGAGCACATAAGGCTGCCAGGAAATTTTCCTCATGGAGGAGATTGGCGTGTTTGATAATTGTGGTGTGCTGAAACAGAGAAAGAACCATTTCCTTTTGATATAAAAACCAAGCCTTTTTAGAGTAGGCAATATTAACTCCTCACGAATTATACCTTCAAACCTGGAGGTGTACACATTCAAGTAAAAAAGAAAGACTAATAAAAATAATGTTCAACTAATGGAAGTATTGAACATCCATACTAAAATATTTAATGTATAAATATCCGGGATTTAAAACTTCACTAAAAATATAACATTAAACCTATTTAATATATTTCAGAAATTAATTTTTATACTAAAGAAATATGTATCATTTAAGGAATACATGAATTGAAATTGAATTTTGATTTAAAAATATCCTATTATATATGTATCTAATTATAATTATAAATATGTATACATATTAAGCAATTGGCACTTATAATTCCACTAAACAGAACATAGTTCTTGAAGGTAATCTTTTAACACTATGAAGTAAGAGAAATGTGTCATCTAAGAGTTTTCACTATCTCCAAAGTGGAATTAGTATATAGCTAGATGACAATCTGTATTGATTTTGGAGTTCACACAATCCAACACTATGAAGAAAGAGAAATGTGTCATCTAATAGTTTGCACTATCTCCAAAGTGGAACTATTAGAGTATTACATAGACAATTTGGATTCATTTAGGAGCTCACACAAGTTACTCCAAATCAATAAGGCATCTCGCTAATGATAGCCATTCTCTAAGTGGTGGAATAACTCTAGGAAATAGAGTTTCTCTCTCTCTCTCTCTCTCTCTCTCTCTCTCTCTCTCTCTACTTGCTTAACATAACAGCGTGTTCAAGAAGACCTCATGGAGCGTGTTCAAGTTCCAACACTAAAAAGTAGGAGATATGTGTCACCTAATAGTTTGCGCTAACTCCATATAGTGGAATTACTACATGGACAATCTGAGTTAATTTTGGAGTTCATACCAGTTACTCCAAAACAATATGGGTTGTCCAAGAGGTGGAGTAACTTTAGAAAATATAGTGCAAAAAGACATACCTGACTTTCCAAACTAAAGATTGTTGCACAAACACATCTAAATTGTCAAAATAGATTCTTCATTGTGAATCACATGACTTTATTTCACTTCTATTGCTAGCAATAATTTGACACTTCTGCATATTTTGTCGTAGTTTCTAACATTTGACGAGTGAGTCTCCTTTCTAACGTAGTTTTCATATTCATTTTCAGTTTTTACTAGATCAGACTTAAACAGATCACACTAGATCAGACAAGCAAATTCCATGCCAAGTAAAAGCATCCTAAAAATGACAAAGACTTTCATAATAATTTGATTGCTCATTGATTTCAATTAACGGATCATCAATATTTCAACAATTTCATAAGAAACTCCATTTTTCAATATTAAACGTTAAAAATTATAGATGAGGGATAAATTACTCTATAATAAAGAAGGTATTATCAAGTTCACCTGACTCTTCGAAAGGATTAAAATCGTTCAAGTATGGAACTGGAACTAATCTTTAGTTGTTATGCATCATTGCTTCATTATTGAAGGATTTTGAAACATAAACTATTGCTTTTCAGGATTAAAATCGTTCAAGAATGGAACTGGAACTAATCTTTAGTTGTTATGCATCTTTGCTTCATTATTGAAGGATTTTGAAAAGTAAAATATTACTTTTAACACATGTTTTTCATAGTTTTAATTACGTATGGTGTCATTATTAACTGGGTTAGACTTATGCCTTGGATTATTTTAGGATAGGGCCATCATTATTTTTATAAAACAAACATTATTGCCATAATTAAGCAAAAGCTGAAGGTTGGGTTCAGGTTGAGCCTACTACAGCTCACGCGTAAGTCCGCCCATGAGTATATGTGATCATCAGAGATGCCATATATGATTGCTATTATCAATATGTTTCTATAAAGTCAAGAGAAAATAATATTAATGAAATTCATCCCGTGCAACGCACGGGTGAAAATCTAGTTTAGTTGAAAAGACTCAAAGACTTTTTTGAGTGCACATAATTCAATATCACTCTTAGTGGGCACAGAGTTATTTAATGTCCATCTTATTCTTGCTATCAAAACCTCGTAACCCTTATGACAACTTCATATCATCGAACATTTACTCCAAGACTCTAACAGATGAAGTCTTCATGGCTCAACCATCTCTTTTTGTGTGGATTTTTAGCCATGCAAAATCATTTGTATATTTAATTATATATAATCATATGACTTATTTTATTATGTGTAACCGTACCGATTATTTCTTTCCTAGGCACCAAAGATTGAGACACGTCTGTTTTAGAGTGGTTCGTTTACTCTGTCGGATTCTTCAGGTAGTCCCTTTTTTTGTTTTTCGTTTTACTCCGGAAGGCAAACCATCAATATCAGTGGGGCAAATGTCGGGGCACATTTGCCGTTATTTTATTAATAATCAAATTCAATTACAGAAGAGGGGACCAAACCAAGACCTCTCCAGTAAAAAGACTAAACAAGCCAACGAATAAATGGAATATTAAACAGATCAAAATTATATTCAATCCGGGCCGAGCAGGGCAGCAAATCAACCGCAGTCCAAATACGAAATTGGGCCGGTTTAGTGGCAGCAAGGGAATGGGCTGTTCGATTGCCTTCCCTGAAGACATGAAGAAATCGAACCCCTTTCCTAAAACATCGATGTCTGAATCCAGACAGATCTTCGCACCAGGTAACAATGTTCCCACCTGAAAGATAAGAAAGGATCAGTTCAGCATCAATTTCAACCTGAAAATCTCGGAAACCTTCGTCCATCGCCCAACAGGTCGCCATCGTCGTAGCTATATACTCTGCCTCCAACGACGAGTTGGCAATAACAGGAAAAGCAATCGCACCAACCATCTCGCCTCCTTGATTCCTTAAGATTTCACCCCCGGATGCGGAACCAGGATAAAAGCTGCATCAATATTCAACTTCAATCCTATCTTTGGTTTTATCCATTGAATAGGCTTTAAAAGTTTTTGCTTAAGCTTGAATCCAAGGGTAATTAGCTGCTCTTCGTATAAAATGTTGTCTATCTTGCCCAGCTTTTGATGAGATAAACTTAAAACCCAATTCTGAGTAAATAGCTTAATTTGCCAGATAGTGTTGAGAGAAGAGGAGCTTTAGAACCGTAACCCCAGACCAAATTAGTATAAACTTTCCAAATGTTCCAACATATAATACCCGGAAGATTAATTTTAAACATGTCAATGAGATTCTTACTACCAGCCTCCAACCACCAAACCAGAAACATACTGCGTATATATTGACACTGAGTAGGCATAGGGATAGACATAAGCATACTAAAATAAGACCAAATTGCTTTAGAGAATTCACAATCCAGAAAAATATGAATAGAAGAGTCCTCATTTTTCCTACAAAGAGGACAGATAGAGGGCTGAATAACCCTTCTAAACCTGACCAAATTGTCAGTTATAGGCAAAATCCCCTTGAAGTCTCCATTGAAACATAGTAATTTTTGGTTGTTGGTGAGGATGCCAAATCTGCCTGGAGATGAAAGATGATCCCAAAGAGTTTCTAATAGCATGATATGCAGATTTAAATGTAAATTGACCATCTTTTGAACCCTTCCAGGTGACTTGGGAATCAGATACATCAGTTAAAGAGTAAGCTTGATCATTGACTAAACACAATCTTCTCCAAATAGGTGAATCTAGGATATATGGCTCTCATATCCTCACCCCCAGGATATATGGCTCTAATAAATGAAGACCCAAAACAGGAAGATTTTTTCCATTTCCACCACATTTTTAAAGAAAATGCCTTTTCCACATCATCAAGAAATCTGAGATCCAATCCCCCTACTTCTTTAGGGTAACAAAGCTTTGTCCAGCTAACCCAATGATATTTAGGTCTGTTGTTGGAAGAACCCCATAAGAAATTAGCCATTTTCTTCTCCAGAATGTTTCTAATTCTATTTGGCAGAGTATCCACTCCCAAAAGATGCATGGGAATAGACCCAAGAACATGTTTGATCAAAATAAGCCTTCCCCCGATGGATAAATTCTTCCGCTTCCAAGTTGTAAACTTAGAATCAAATTGATGAATGATGTTCTAACAATATTGATGCTTGTTTATACCTCTATGCAGATATGCTCCCAGATATTTCATAGGCAGTGATGACTTTTGCATTCCTAGCAGGTCTTGCATGGCTTGAGCCCTATATGCAGCATGTTTCCCAGCGATGAAAGAACTCTTATCAAAATTAACAACTTGCCCAGAAGCTTCTTGGTATAAGGTAAGGAACCTGTGAAAATTAAGCAAAGATCTGGAATCTCCATTAAGAAAGATGAGAAGATCATCAGCATATCCCAGGTGAGATACAGGATTCCCTTTTGTGCCAAGCCAGTAGGGTTTAATTAAACCTTTAGAACAATACCACTTTAGCCCCTTAGAGAAAGCTTCTGAAGCTAGAATGAATAAGTAGGGAGATAAAGGATCCCCTTGTTTGACACCCCTTGTGGGTTTGAAAAAACCATGACTAGATCCATTGACCAGAACAGATACGTAAGTAGCTTGAAGATTATTGAGGATGACATTAATAATCTTACTGCAAAACCCAAACTGCTGCAAAATTTTAGCAAGGAAACTCCAGGATAGTCTGTCAAAGGCCTTAGCCATATCA